GGATCGGTTTGGGCTTTCCCAGTATAAGACAGATGGGGTCAGGCCACCAAACTAAAGCCCAGGATGGATGGGGAAAGACCGGGATTTTCCAGCCTGGAATCAAATCTCTCCATGCCTCTCATTACATGCTTTTAATTGTTTAATTACCCATTTAGGCTGCTTAAACTGAGGTCCTTCACTCATAGGCATCCTTGCCCTGCTTTCGTCTGCTCTCCTAGGCAACTGCTTTCGGGGACAGGACAAGGACTTGATGGACCTTCATCCAAACCCCTGACTCTTGTATATTCTCAAGGAAAAAGTCCAACCTCTTGCTCTACTAAAGCCCAGTGCATCAGGGTTCGTGTCAAGCCAACACCAAAAGGAGCCATCCCGTTTCTACGTGTTCATTCCCAATTTTGACTTCCCCTTTACACATTGAGTCAGGATCCGATCAAGCTGCAAATGACTCCAACTTCTGGATTGCTATGGATTTTTCACCACCTTGATTTCCACAGACTTGCTGTTTTTGACGGTGCAGAAAACTTGGGTTTATCATCTCCCTGAGTAGCGGGTTTTAGAGAGGAGGGAGGATGATTTTTTCTTCCTCCAGTTATTTTAAGCAACTCCCAAAGAAAACCCGCAGAAAAACAAAACACACCGGGCAGAAACTACTTAGAGTTGCAGGTTTGCTTTTAATTCCTCATCAGTGCAAGTTTGCAGGCATCCAGGAACAGACATTTAGCGATTAAAAGATCAAAATATATTTTAAGGCATGGAAATGGCCCCATGTTCCACTAAAGGAAAAGAACCTGAACACTGCTATCCTTTCATTTCCCTTTCATTTGAGGTCTAGGCTGGAGGGAAGAGGTTGTCCTTGATGGCACAGCAGGTACCAGCTCCAGCAGTAATATCCAAATTTCGCATTAAACATGTAAACGATCGTCGAGGTTGGGATATTCCTGGGGAATCCCCCTTCCCTTGATTCCTTTTCTTGGTTGTCCCTGGCGTACGCTCTCTTTGGTCACACAATTCCCCTCTATCCAGTGGCTCCATCTCCAGCTATGACAGCACCCGGGATGGAGAGATGGGTCTAAGGCAGTCCACTTCCTCCAGGCAAGGACAGAAATTTCTGGAGGACATGCTCATTGACCGTGAACTTCTGAAGGTGAGACCCCAGGCTTCCCAAAATTGCTGTGAGGGCACTAGTTGAAGCAGGACAAAAGCATCGAGAGTCAATGGTGGGTCATGCATCAGTGAGTTCCACCAAAAAGATGCATTTGAGGAAGATGCAAACCCACTCTCCCTTCCCTTTGAGCATCACACACCCGTGGGAGAGAGGAAGAGGAGATGCTCTTCCCCCCATCCTCTGCCAAGGAAAACTGATGGGCATCTACAGCGTAGTCCTGGACTCTGTCTTCTCTGTCCTCCACGGAAGACTGAAGCGCATCTTGCTCTGATTTCAGAAGCTGCAGTTGGGTCTGAATTCGTTAGTGAGAGGAAAGAAAGAAGTCCCTCGTTTAATGGCATCGTTGTCTGTCATCAGAGGTAGGGTCTTTGCTATTGCAACACCAATGGCGCTTCGCCGTCCACAGCTGGCTCAAAACTCATGTTGGGTCTTTCCAGCTTCTCTTTTGCAGGAGAAAACAGATTTCAGGTTGGCCTGAGCTGCCTGCAAAGGCGTCCTTGCTGGAAAGTACCTTGTGAGGGGTCGAGCCAGGAGAAAACAAAACCAAAAAGCTTAGTGCAAAATTAGAGGAGGCTCATTTCAGATGGCAAGCAGGCCAGCTGAAGAGCTTCCACGTCTAACACCAACTGGTCCACAGCAGCAGGAGACAGATGGGTCCGGCACCCGCATCTGCTGCTGATGCAAGAAAGTTTCGATCTCTGAAGGATGGCATTTTGCTGTGAGCAGGGCCATTTGGCTGGGAGAAACACCACCTTCATCGGAAAAGTGGTTTGTCTGGGTTTTATTCCTTAGCTTAGGCTTAGGTCAGAATGAAAAAACAAAAAAAAAAAAACAAAACAAAACAAAAAAACAGAAAACAGACAAACAAGGCGCTGAGGGTAAAGATCAGGGAGGGTGAAGTCCATTTCTATGGAAATTCAGTCATGGTCGCAATCTCATGGATTTCGGCATAACTTGCCACGGTCAGCGGAAACAACGGGGAACTCTTGACTGCTCTTGAAGTAAGTGTTGGGAAAGTTTTTGACACCCGTGACTGTTTCAAGGCTATTCACCTCCCCCTTCTTTTTTTTCTTCTTTAAACCAAGGTCAAGGAGATTTCAGGGAGCTGTGGGGAAGGAGAAGGGCTGAGGATCTCTTTTGTTTTTTTCTGACTGATCTTCAGCATAGCTGATCTTGATAAGGGACCCACATCCTGGAGGAAAGAGACGTTTATGGCTGCTGGGTAAACAAACCCTCACGAGGCTCAGTAAATCCCTGGCACTGCAAATTGTGAGGTTAAGAGGTGACATGGGGATTGTGGTGGTGAGAAATCATACGTATCTCTTTCTTAGTCTTCCCTCAGCCTCTGCTCATGGCTGAACCCTGGGCGAGATGAACCCTTGGTCCCCAAGAGCGTGGTGCTCCTACGTCCACCTCCTCAGGGCAGGTAATGCCACCTCAATAGTTGATATCAAGAGACAAGGGCAGGTGAGTCCACGGATGGTTTATCCCACATCCCAAAGGCTATAGAGGTATCTGCCACCCATCAAGAGCAGCAGTACCGGGAACTTCTGGCCCTTTGTGTGTCAGCGTACCCAAAAACCCATCACCTCGTACATCTGGGAATGACAGAATGGTTACGGTGCACTTTGGACCTTCCACACACCATGCAGATAAGCCTTTCCTCATCTTCGCAGAAGAGTTTCATGGCTTCCTGGTGCTCCTTGTACAAGTTCTCCCTGTCTTCCACCTCTAACCGGTCGTAGGCTACTTGGCCACTTTGATGCCGCTGGCCACCTCCCTGTTGGGTTGGAGGCTCTGCTGGGGCACCATGTCCCTGCACTGGGGAGGCAGTCAATGGTCAGTCCTTCCTAATCCCGAGTGATGCACGGACCAAAAAATCTGTGCCCACAGTGGATGGACACAGGATCCTGGAAAAATTCCAGGCGGATGGAACACGAGGCTTCATCCTGGAGGCTTTCCACAGACCTCCTGGGCGCCGTGGAGAGCAACCAAGTTTGTTTCACTTCCGAATGATCAAGAAGGAGAGATATATCTCTTCCTGATTCTAAGGCATTGGTTGAACGGAGATCCAGCCCCTTCCTAGCAGGGCTTTAGGCAATATATTTACTTGTGTTGCTTTGCCCGTGCTGGGAAGTAGCAGTTAGACAGCTGGGGAGGAAGAGAATCCGAAGTGCCTGTCCCATTTTTACCCTTTCCCAAAGGCACCGGGATTTTTTCAATTTCCAAAGCCTGTCCTTTGAATCGGTGGAGACCTCTGGATTTGGTGACTCGACAGCAGCTAGAACAGGAGTTTCACACCCTGCTAGCACCTGAAAGAGGTTGTAGTGCGGCTGGGGTGGGAGACAACCACTACCTCAAAATGCTTCTGAGATATCAGGACTGACGGGACCTGGCCAAGTCTTGGGAAGGACCTCAGCACCCTTCAGAACATCATCTATAGAGCTGTTTGGGAGGGCTCTAACATCTTTTGGGTGACCTTAAGGGTTCAAATGTACAATTCACTGCAGGATAGGGTCTTCTCAGCCGTCAGAAGAAATTTTTGCTACTCCTGATCCCTGGAACATCAGCTCTGCCCTTGGGGTAAGGTAGGACATCAGACTAACACCCTGCAGAGACTGCTATGGATCAAAGATGCTCACATGTCCCTGGAGACTGCTGGTGCCCGTAAGACCTTGCACCGTCCCAGCAGGCTTCTCCGATCTACAGCGACACAGCTGAGAGCCTGGACTGATCCTTTTCCTGCTCTTTAAATGCCTTTTTACTTTCAAAAATTTATTGTCGCTTCTTTCCAGCATCTTTCCTTTCCCTTTCAACTGGTTCCCAGCCATGGACTTTGAACCAGTTTCCACTCCAGGTGGTTTTCAGGCACATAAGCGGGAAGAGTCATCGCTATTCCCCCCCCGTCACAGCTGCAATGAACCAGGAAAGGTTTTGTTAACTGCTTGACCTTGAGCTTTACAAGAAACAGGTCAAGAGAGAGCAGGAAAGCGAACAGGGTTTGCCTTGCTGGTGGTGGCACAGCACCATTTTCCCCGTTTCTCTACCAAGAAAGAGAAAACAGCCTGTGAAATATAGAAAGACACTTTAATATAGTCATTTTGCATATGTAAAAATTTATATAAAACTGCTTACCAAGCTTCCTGACCCAAATGTATATATATATATAAATTGCAGAAAGGAAGAGTTCAAGCTCTTTCTGTTCATCTTTACCCCTCCAGCCTCTGATTTCTCCCACCCCACAGCTCTGAGAAAGGCGGTTGAAATCCCCAGGGTTCAACACCAAAGCCTTAAAACATGGATGTTCTTGCCAACGCTGTGAGGTTTTGAGCTCATAAGAGGTCTTGGTGGGAAAGCAGCAATTACACTTGATTCCGTGGTACCCTCTTCTCCTTCCTAGTAGCCAGACCAGGAACTGGCGCCAGCTTCTTCAGCCCCACAGGAACGTCATTGTTGAAAACAGGCGACGTTGTTGAATGTCAAGGTAAGGAAAAATTGGAAAGGATGGGAAAAGAATAGAAGGGATTAAAGCCTTGAAATTGGTGTCCCAGGTGCTGTTGCCCAAATTACAGGCTTTTCTTGCTCGTTCCCGGGTGACATTCCCTAGCAAAATCTTGGAATGTTAAAAAATCTAGAGGTCTGCCCAAGATGATCTCTTCTCCGTCTGCTGCTCCTGAAAAATCCCATGAGAATGAGATTTAAAGCGGACACTGGAACTCATTTGCCCCATTTTATTCTTTACCCTCCAGAGAATCTTGAAATATAGTGTGGTTTTCTGGATCAAACCACAGGCTTGTCCAGAGCATGTAAGGTCCGTCTCGCTGCCCGTGCCGTCTCAGGGAACCAGCTGGATCCTGGACTCCCAAACCCAGAAGAAAGGCAGGATTTTCTCTCCATTGAAAGAAGTCGGAGGAAAAGCAAAAGCCAAGGTCTCATTATCAGCATCGAAGAAAGCCACGTGTCCCTTCTCGTAATCCAGAGAGACCCGGATAGTCCTTGGCCTCCCATTCAGAGGCTGAACTGTTTCAAAGGAGGTGAAAGCTTGAAACCTGTCCCCACAGATGCCAACAGCCCAAATCCCCTGGGAAGGGTCGAGGTTAATCCATCCCTTTCTCCACGCTGAGTCTCTGGCCACCCCGACTGCCCAAAATCCCCTGCTCCCCAGATGCACTTCCCAGTAGTGCCTCCCCATCGTGAAGCCTTCGCAACCCAAGACGGAGCAGTAGGTATCAAATCTCTGGGGATTGTTGGGCAAATTCTGGGGCGTTTCATCCCACCTCACGCTCCTCCGATCCTCGGAGAGGACGAGGTGGGGGTTTGCTGTGTCTGGATCCAGAGTCACGTTTGCTGATGGGAAGGAAAGCACGAGAAAAGAAAAACGGCACGTCAGAGGGAAGGTGATGGATCTTTCTCTTCAACTGCACCCTCCTCATTTTTCCAGGGATGAAATCTTGGCCTGACCGAAGCCGTTCTGTAAGGGCTTTCCCCACGAAATATGCCATACGGATCTATTTAAAGGCTTTAATGGTTTGTACTGGTTTTAATTCCGATTAAAGGGGAAATTCATCTTGCCAACCCACCAGGCAAGTGTGAATTCCCTGCTTTTGCTGGCTTTTTTCTCTTGGATCCCCTTTTTCACCCCATTATACCTCCAGTCTCCCGCGACTTACCCCATTGCACATCCAGCTCAACTGGGAGGCTCTCTGGAAGGAGAGAGAAGCGCCGTTAGTTGGTTTATGGGGGAGAAGGAGTCTATTAGAAATGGGTAAATACGAGGAGGTGCACTTTTTCCCCATGCAAAACAAGCAAAATCATCAGGTGAACAGGTCAGGTTCACGGATAGATGGACCTTCAAACCCAACATGAGCGGCTTTATGAGGTTATTTCTTTAATTCAGAGTTAACTGCACCAATTACTAACTGGAGATCAGAGGAGGGAATGGGACAGTTATCCAAACACGGACAACGGTTTCAAAATCGCTCATTCGGGGTTTAGCTGTGTATACACCACCACCTGTTTGCAACACGTTGACTTTTCATGCTGACTCCCTCGCGGATGGCTAGATGTTACCTACAGCCTCTTTGGTTTAAAAAGGACCGGAATCAAGAATTTGATTCCTTTCCTTTCTGTAGCTAAAGGGAGAGGCTTGCTCTAGTCCTTCACGTTACTCATGGGTTCAGATGCGTGTGTAAATAGGCCTGGGAACACAAATTACCCTCCCTTTTCCAGCCCCAGAGAGGAGGGTTATTGAGTAACTCATCGTTAGTGTTCCTTAGCTGGGGCTTTATGCTGGTAATTGGCGAGTGTCCTCTCCTTTCCACCTCCAGAAGTGCGTTTAGATTTTCCCCTTCCTTTGTACCTTTGAATTTCCTCAGGGCTTCCTTCAGAACGATGTTTTTCTGAGATAAATCCTTCAGTTTCTTTTCCACCCTGGGAAATTTCTCTGTCAGTTGCTGGAAAGTCCTTGCTTCACACCTGGAAGGAGAAGACTTTTGTATTACTTTCTTGATGAGCGAGCTACATAGAAACTCTGCTTAGAAAAGCTGCCGGGTAAGCTTATTTCTCCCCAAGCATCAGGGTTGAGTGGGTTGAGATATTGCTGAGCACATCAGTGGTCCCAATGTCCCTGTGGAGGACCGATGCTTGCTCTGGACCTCCTCAATGATGGATGTTGGCTTCCTCCAGCTGAACGGAGGAGGTGGAGGGGACGTGATCTCCTCCCAGGGCCATCTCATCCCTAGTTTCTTCCTCACCCTGAGCACTGGGGACTCGGGTAGAGAAGATAACCCCCTCCTGCTCCCCAGTTCGTGTCCGCTTTGTGGTATTGGGATGGGGACCATCGTCCCCTCCGGAAAGGGAGAGCCACGTACCTGGCCAAGGCACTCCTGGCATCCTAAAGGAGAGAGAGAAGATGGGAATTAAATTCTGAGTGATCTTCAGGCCTGTCTATATCTCCTACCTCCCTCAGCTGTTATTCCCAAGTAGGCTTTGCTTGTTTTAGATTTTCTTGTGCCAGCATAGAGCAAGATCAGGGATCTTTTGCACTCATCTGGTGGCCCATTTGGTCCCTTCAATTTGGCCCCTGGCTAGAAGAAATGCTCAAATGCAGCTAGTGGAATATGGTATCCACTTCCAGACATCGCTTCTGCTACTGTCCTGGCTGACGTGGTCTCTTGGGAAGGGAAAGTGTGGTCCCATGTTGGGCAGCCTCACCCTGGACTTAATCCAGCTTTTGCTTTGCCACGGTGGTGCAAGATGTGCATCAATCTCCCTTCCTTTGCCTGGGCTTGGGAGGGAAAAACAGTTGGTGGACGCTTCCAAGATGCTGAAATACTAATTTGGGGGACCTCCTCTTCATGGGTTGGATATGACATAGCATAGCTCATTGATGCTGATATACAATGTACAATACGGCTTTGTCCTGAAACGAGCATCTAAATAAACTACTCAAAAAGTCAAGGCAAAACAACTGGGGAGAGGGGGAAGAGAAGCCCACCTCAACGGCACGTCTAGAGTGTTGCAAACTCCATCGCCCAGCTCCTTGTTCTCACCTGCAGGGATTTATTCTCCGGTTGTGGGCTCATCCCTTCCAGCTCCCTGATGAGGTTGCCCAAGTGGGAGATCTCCGCAGAGATGTTCCTGTCGTTCTCCGTCTGGGTCTCCACTATCTTCTTCTCCACATCTTCCAGCCACATCAGGAGAAGACGTTCCTGCTCATCCTGGAACTGATGCAGCTGCTTAAACGCCAACATAATTTTCCACCTCTCGGCTCTTGTCTGCTGCTGCAAGGAACGGATGGAGAGGGATAAGAACAGAAGACTTCCAAGACCTACAAAACATGGTTAAATAAGACAGGAGCAAGGACTGGGCTTTGGCCCTGAGGCCAGCCAAAGTCCATCGCACGTGGCTCTGGGTCCCCTTTGGGTTTTACGTGATGCTCTGTGAAGTTATAAACTACACCTGGCTTTTTTTAGGGGGTTGGTTTTATTTTTCAGCTCGAGAAACACGCGGGCATTGTTGCTTCTTGGTTTTGCCCACAACCTGGAGTCGTCTGTGAGTGTTTGATGGGAGAAATCCTGCTGGGAGAGTGTCTGAGGACACCAAGGTGAGAGGAGGATTCAGATGCGGTGAGATCCCGCGGAGGCTGTTGGAAATGGTCCCTGGGCACGTGCAATTCCCCAAAATTCCCAGGTGTCGGCACTGAGGGCAGTTACTGGATGGGATGGGACCGAATCCCAGCCCGAGACCGCAGCACGAGCAACCAGCAGCACGTTCCCAGTGTTTTCCTTCCATCTCCACTTTACTTAACAGCAAAGCCATCGCCCATCTCTGCTCACCTTCACCCCGGCAGCCTGCCTGTTCTCATGAAGGTGCAGCGAAACATCTGCCACGCTTTCTGCTTCTGCTTTTGAGGAAATCACCATCTCTCACTTCCTTAGAGCTACACATCCATCGCCCCCTCCCCGACCTCTGGTAGCCCAAAGTACCTCTGGGAGGTGGTGGAAACCTCTGCCATGGTGCATTCTCCCAAGGAGATGTGTCTACATCTGGATGCTACCAGAGCCACCACCCTCACCAGGACTCTGATGTCTACGCAGGAGTAGAAAAGCCCCATCAGGGTCCAAACTGGACACAAGCACCCCACCATGGACATCATGCCTGGTGTGATTGACCCATCACTGGGTGGAAAGCACCCTGAGATGGAGAAATCCAGGAGCACCATCCCTTTGCAGCATCATCCCACCACCCCATCCTGCAAATCTCCCCAGGTGGGGACCCACGTGCCCACCTCCTCTATCCAAAACGTGGCCAAGCTAAGCTGCAAGCCCCTCCCTTCCACCATTTGGAAACCACCTCCGTCTCCACCAGTGTTTGGTGGCTGCCAATTTCCCCTCGAGAAACATCCACGTTCCATTCACGGGTGCCTCACCAAGAGGGAGCAAGTGCAAGAGAGATGGAGCAGCCAGAGGTGTTCTCCTCCTCACTACAAATTTAAGTGCCCATCCAACATCTTTTAATCCACAGAGCAGACCTGCAGAAGACCCCTCCCTGCATATAGTGGCGATGAATGCCCCTACCAGATACTTCTGGCTTCTCTTCTCCCCAGTCAGTTTTAATCCTTGGAGTCTTTCTCTTTCATCCTTGAGGCTCTTCAGTTTGCTCTGGATTTGCTCCTGGGCATGAAAAAAAAGAGAGAGATATATATAATATTAATCTGCAAGTTGTTGGGGAGAGGGATACACGCCTTCAATGTTGCTCTGGCTAATTCCTGGTGTGCTCAAGCCTGAGACCACCAGAACTTGGAAATATTTAAATATTCTTTATTCTGTTGCCCCTCTTCACCCCAGACTTTTTCTATGACGCATCTTGCGAATGTAGAGTCAAATAAAGGCGATATTTAATATTGCAGCCTCATTTACATTCCATTCTGGTCTTTGCCAGCTCCTTCTCCCAGTGTATTTGTGGCCGGTTATTTTCTGCCTTCGCCGTAATCTATTCTGCCTTGGTTGGCTCATTTTATGCCCTCGTGAGCACCAACATCCTTTTTTTTTTTAACCCTTAATCAGTTCCCCCAAATCGCTGCAACTTCCCATCACCTACAGAATCAGCGTTTCTGCCCAAATTTATCACCTTCAGCTCCTTCTGCAGCCGGAGGAATAACGAGTACAAATAATATCCCCCCAGTTTGTTTTTAGGAGGAGAAAAATTGCATTTCTAATTCAGAAATTACTGGGGGTTTTTTAACATCTACTCCTAAAAGCCCCCCCCATGACAAACGCCGATGGACGTCTGCAGCGCACGCATCCCACCCTGACCCCCTTTTATTTTTTGTCAGCTTATTCTCCCCCTCCTGCCCCTCGCTTCTTCTTTCCCCCCACATCGTTTCGTGCCCACAGCATCGACTAACGTCACCTTTCGCCCTCCCCATTCCCAGTCATTTCTTCCTCTGTGGGCAGGGGGAAATGTCACCGAGCTTCCTCCGCACAAGCACCAGCTCCTCCTCTTCCTCCTCCTCCTGACCCCATCCTCCCCCGAGGGAAGTAAAAATGCCTCCCAGCATCATCCCAGTTATCCTGAGATAATCGCTCAGAAAGAAATTCCTTCGGGGAGAGATTTACAGAGGAAAGAACAACTCATCTGCCATTTCCAACCCGATTCTCGCACCAAAATTAGCAGCAAGAGCCTGTGCACGAGGTGGGGTCCAGCTCTGCTAATTTAGGAGGGGTTTTTTATGAGTTACCGGCCTCAGCTTCCTTTGTGGTCCCCGGAGAGGGTGACAGCAAATAAATCGGTGGTTTTCCGTAAAGGGATCTGAGCTGATGAGGTCACCCTGAGAAGTTTAAACTGAAATCCCATTCGAGGTGAAAATCAGGTTTTAATCAATTCATCCTGTCCAGGGGTGGCCCTAAGAGTGGATTTTGCTGGTGGGTTGGCTCTGACCCAGCACCCTGAAATCTCTGCATGCCCTCGAGCCGAGCTGTGCCCCTCATCGTTGTATCTGGGCTTTTGCAGACCTGGGTGGCTGCATTGCATCCAGGCAGGGTTGGAGCCAAAGTGACAATGCAAAGCAACCCCGGCTGGATGATCCACCGGCTCAGCCCAAGCTGCCACATCCCAAATCTTGGGAAATCCTATGAGACATCGAGATATCCTTCCCTACATCCTCGGGGAGGTGCAGAAAACCCCTGGCTAGCAAACCTCAGCCGCTGATGGACAAAAAAAAGAAAAAGAAACAAAACAGAACAAAACCATTAGGGGAAAACACCGCACTGTGATATCTTACCTTGCACTCTTGGGCGGCTTCTTCGATGGGTGCGACGGTGTGAGCGCGGTGAGCGTGCGAGCGGTCGCACACCACGCAGATGGCCGTCCGGTCCTCCTGGCAGAAAAGTTTCAGCGGTTCCTGATGCTTCGGGCAGAGGTTGCTGACCCCGTCCCCGTACCCTGTCCGTAAGCTCAGCTTCTTGGCGATCTCCGCCAGGTTCCTCAGCTCACGGTTTGGTCTAAATTTTCTTTTCTGGGCAATTCCTCGGCATTGCGGGCAGGCGAACCTCCGGTCTGATTTTCCCGAGCATCGCGTGATGCAGTCCCGGCAGAAGCTGTGCCCGCAATTGATGGACACTGGGTCGCTGAAATAATCCAGGCAGATTGAACAAGATGCTTCTTTCTGCAAACTTTCCAGCGGGTCAGACTCGGCCATGGCTGAAGAAGAATGACACAATTAATTTTGCTTCATTGACTTTTTTTTATTTTTTTATTTTCTTTTCGGCAGCAGCTGGGAAGTTTCCTTCCCGATCAGCCTCTGCTGTCCAAACTGGGAGGTCTTGTTTGAAAAGTGCAGCCTCGTTAAAGGATGTAAAAGGAAGGAGGGGCAGAGAAAGGGGAATTTCAGGCTGTTTTTTGTGCGAAACGCAGTTTTGCAACACCCCTCTGAAACCTGAGTCACTCCAAAAGGCGTTTCAAGGTCTTGAAAAGTTTGCTGCTAAAAAGAGAAGGGAGAAAAGAAGTTCCTTGTCCTGACCCATGACCTCCGAGTCCCACATAACGAGTTGACGGCGGGGAGCATTCAGCAACAAGAACAGCTTACGGATGCCCGCGCTCTCTCCTTGCCCCTTGCCGGCACCTCAGTGCAGCCCAAACACAAATTTACAGGAAAGAAAAATAAACAACAACACACTTTTCCTCTCTTTTTTTCCCAGTGTTTTTAAGTCCAGCTGGAGGAAGAGCGATGGGGTCGATCGGTGATACCCAAGCTCCGTATTGCAGAGCTCAGCATCCTCACCACTTACTTAGGAGGTGATCCAGGACAGGATGCTCCCACGTAACCGCCGGGACCGGGAATAAACCCGGTCTAAGGGATCTCCAGGTTAAACCTTGCCCAGGCTGAATCAGCTCGGTTTATATTTTAATTTTTATCCGGGACCGATCAACCAAATCAGGTTACAGCCCTGCGACATGTTCATGCATCGTCATGTACCTCTTTCCTTCCTCTGTACGTGCCCCAACCACAGGGTCGTTCATTTAATTGCAAATGAGTAATTTAATCATCTTCGCTTTCTTCTTGGCCACCTCTGCAGCTGCAGCTCTGGCCGCGCAGGACGCCTGCAGCTCCCCAGCTGCGAGAAGTGACTCGACGGAGGAAATGAATCACGCAGCACCAAAAAAAAAAAAAAATTAAAAAAAAAATAAAAGAGAGAAGTGTTTCAGACCTCCTCGGTGAGATAAGTCAGGGCGTGCTCGGAGGGTCACAGTGGTCATTCCTTGTCCTGAGGTCAAGCACCAGGATTGGACCCATCCCGAAAAGCTTTTGGTTGAGATGCTTTTACAAAGACCCTGCACTCTCCTCCAGCAATGGGCAATTTTCCACCCTGGGGATAAAAAAAAGGCTTTTTCCAAGCCAAAAATGTTCCTGCAGCACGTTCGGGCAGGGATCTGCATTCCCTGGTGGCAAATAAACATTCGTCTTGTACCCACTCATGGGCTGTTGCCCACCCACGCCAGCGCTGATCCCAACCTTCGGCATCCTCCGCTCTGTCTCCGACCTGCAAATCCAAGGGTCCCACCACCTTCAGCCAAAGCTTTGGGGAAATATTAATTAAGACCAGGCTTAGGACAGGCTTATGCGCAGCCCAGCCCTCGGCACACCCACCCAGCCAGACGCCGGGTTTCAACGCCCGACATTGAATTATCACATTGAATTATCGGCAAATCCATGATCCCCTCATTCGCTCTACGAGAGTTTCAAAATCCTGGTCCACCCAGGTTTTTTAAAATCTCCATTTTTTTTTTCTCCTCCCCGCAAGGGAAGGAACTCCATGTGCTGCAAAGCCGTGTCAGTTATTTTTTAGGTGATGAACAGCTTCGCTTTTTTTTTTTTTTCCCCGGTACATTGCAGGAACCGAAGCCACGCTGACCTCTCTAAATTCACCGCTATCTCCCTCCTTCCCCTTTTCTTTTTTTTTTTTTTAAGACGAGCAAACTTGAGCTCTTTTCCCAGCGGCTTCCCCACCATCCTCCGCCACTGCTGACGTCGCCTCGGCCGCCTCTCTGACCCCGTGGCTCATTGCCAGTAATTCAAGATGAATTAAATCGAATTCAAGAGGATTCAAAACCCTCTAATTCAGCTGAGAAGTTGTCGATTTTTTTTTTTTTTTTTTTTTTTGTTTTTTCACCGATTTGGCTTCTTAATACAATGCCTTTGACCCCTGGTGTGGTACCTGTGGTTACGATACATGGAACAGACCGGTACCTACGGATGAGTTAACTCTGAGATCACAGCAAGCCCTTTTAATGAAGATTAAGATAAAAATAAAACGTCCTTTTCCATTTTTCACAAGCGTGGTAACAATTCGGGCTCAGTTCAAAGCTCTTTGAGGTCTTCTCCAGAATAGCAGGGGTTTATTGTCGTCTGCGTAGCTGCTACGATGCTGCGGCTCCTGTTTTCCTCGGGCGTTGACTTTGCGCATCGATCTGAGCTCTTCTGCCTTAGGACTTCTTTAAATTATGAAAAAAAAAAATATATACACCTCTAAAAATGAGAGAGGAAAATGAAGGACAAAAAAAAAAAACAAACAAGGAAATGAATGCAGAGGGGGAAAAAAGTGGTAGGGAGGGGAACTGGCACTGCGGTCCTTTCTGCTTTAAAAAGGGTCTAAGAAAGGGGCTGTGATGGGAATTGGGCTTGGAAAACGTAAATACGGGGAAATGAGGGGAAAAGGGCTGTGGTCAAAATTTGTATAAATGAAAAATGATGGAAGAAAGGCTGTGAATAACATGTATAAGGGAAAAATGGTGGAGGGAGGGCTGTGATTAAAACGTATGTAAGGGGAAAAGATGGAAAAGGGGCTGTGGTTGAAACAGGTATAGAGGAAAAAATGAGGGGAAAAGGGCTGTGATTAAAATATGTAAAGGAAAAATGGTGGAAGAAAGGCTGTGATTAAAACATATATAAGGAAAAAAATATGAAAAAGGGACTGTAATTATAATACATAAAGGAAAAATGATGGAAAAGGGGCTGTGATTAAAACATAAAGAGAGGAAAAATGAGGAGAAAAGGGCTGTGAATAAAACATGTAAAGGAAAAATGGTGGAGGAAGGGCTGTGATTAAAACGTATCTAAAGGAAAGATGATGGAAAAGGGGCTGCGATTCCCATCACCGGTTCCAGATCTTTTTTTTTTTTCCTCCCGTCTGTAAAATCCACCCTTTTTTCTTTTAATAAAAACATGAAGAGTTGGGGCTCAGCCGCTTTCACGAGTGGGTTTCAGGGAGAAGGATGCAGTTTTGTGGTCCACAAAGAAACCGAAAAAAAAAAGAGAAAGATTTATACTACCCACGAAGCGCCCAACGTGGGGCTCGAACCCACGACCCTGAGATTAAGAGTCTCATGCTCTACCGACTGAGCTAGCCGGGCTGCCAAAACTCCCCACTTCTGCTGTTTTTCTCACCAAAAAAATAAATTTTGATGCCAATTTAGCAGAATGCCCTATTTGAATGAGTATAAAAATAGCATTCAAATAAATGTCCCCCGTGGGGGGGGGAAGAGGCGTGGGTTCCCCAGCCCTGCTGCAAACCGCGGGGCCCAGGCGTTTGTAAGAGCTCAAAGTGGGGGTGGGAAGGTGGGGAAAGACAAAAAAAGAGGAAAAAAGGGGAAAAAAAGTGAGGTGTTTCTGCCCGGTTTCGAACCGG